GGGTATGAACTTCTGACATAAACCTAATGTTTTCAGCATCATTTTTACCAGTGCTCATATTGCAATTTTTTGCTGTTATCATTGCATGTCTTTACCAGAGTTCATATTGCAACTTTGTTATCATTGCTTTTCTCTAAATAACTGGTTCCCATATTGTATAAACTTAATACAGATTTTGTGGCCTAGCATATCTCTTTTTCCAGGAACCAAGAAAATGTCAAAATGACCAAGGGAAACCGTTGGATGAAACATCAGTAACATGAATCTATCCAAGCCTCTATCTTTAAAAAAAAGTCTCGCCAAGTCTTAAAAGAGGAAAGATCAGAAGGTGACGCACAAGTTTGACAGAATATCATGAGGACAGTATTGAATAAAAACTTACGATATAAAAAAAACATAAAAAAATGAGATGGAAATAAACAACAGATAAAGTTCATTTGAATCTTTACATAGATACATCATCATACTACCTTTATTTGAAGACAGATTTTATGGATTAATAAAAAAAACGCAAACTTGATGGACAAATGAATTTAATTATTATCGCAGATTACAAATAAATAAACATTCACAAAAATTTGTTGAACTAATTATTATTTAATTTTGATTCAATAAAAACTCCCCCACTACCATTCAATAACTGCCTCTACACGGAGGAGGCACTCTCAGAGATCCTCTGACTCTTCCCCTAGAGAAACCAGTATTCAATCTGATGGAGATGTTGACTTTCTGTAACAAACAACACACTTCGCTCACATATATCGACAGGATGAGGGCTTAATTGGTCACCAGCAATAATATATACATTATTTGTGGCATTAGAGTCTACCAACTATATGGTTACTACGTTGACACTTTCATTTAATCAGGAAGAAGTCTTTGACCTTCGTTTCACAATGGAGAAAGAGAGTAACTGGATTTAATATCTCGAACAGAGAATGGTTCCCGTATACCGTAAACCAACATTCACCGGACAGTACCTCAATTTCAACTCCCCACCATCCATACAGCGTAAAGAAAGGGATCGTCCGATGCTTACAACATCGAGCAAAAAGTCAAAGTGGCGATCCAGAGACGTTAGATAAGGAATTGGTCAGTATAAGTAGTACCCTACAACGCAACAACTACCCTGGGTTGGCAGCAGCCCCCAAAAACTGGGATCTGAGGAGGAGGAGGAGGAGGACAACAACATGTTGGAAAACAGTCTGCCTGCCTTATGTGAAGGGGTTATCAGAGAAAATACAAAAGATCTGCGGTCCATATAACATCAGGACAACCTTCAAAAGCGTGACAACACTTCGCAGGTATCTCTCACGAGTGAGACCCCCCATAGAGAGGAACATGACTAAAGACTGTGTATACGCATCCATTCTAAAGGAGACAGGCCGCCCCCTCAAGGTAAGGCTTCAAGAACGCGTGGCTGACCACATATGGAGAGAGAAGGGGTGATCACCGCCCCCTGTGGGATGGAGATCATAGACAGGGAACACCATTGGAAAATTCGTAAACTTAAGGAATCAGCACATATGCTAGGCCAAAAAATCTCCTGATAGAAATAAATACAATATAATAATAAGGAGTGCCAGAGAAAAGCAATGATAACAAAGTTGCAATTTCTGGTAAAGACATGCAATGATAACAGCAAAAATTGCAATATGAGCACTGGTAAAAATGATGCAAAACATTAGGTTTATAATACTCAGAAGTTCATACCCAGATGTCCTCAAGGACACATGGCACAGTGGATAAAGGCGTTGGTTAGATCCAGTGACAGACCCAAAGAAGGTGAGTTCAATTCCTGGTTAAGGCAGTGGAGAACTTTCAGAGGAAAATTAGCAGGAGATAACTGATAACTGACATCCATCAAACATGGCACGTGGAATTAGAACAGTCTACCCCAGCGATCGAAATAAAGGGTTCAGTTCGAAATTCCAACCACCTGAAGAAGGCCGGAGCGTACAACGGCCGAAACGTTGTGACGAATATGGCGACAAAGATGAGGAAATAGTCCGACTAATGTAAATACTGTCTTAATACACGCACATCTCTTTTCCAGGAACCAAGAAAAATGTCAAAATGACCAAGGGAATTCAGAGCAACATGAATCTATCCAGCCTCTATCTTTAAAAAAAAAAACATCTTAAAAGAGGCCGTTTGACGAACATGAGGACTGACCAAAATTTACGATATAAAAAAATAAAAAAACACAAATAAACAACAGATAAAGTTCATTTTCTTTATAGATACAGGGTACGGCTTTATTTGAAGACAGATTTTATGGATTAATAAAAAAAAACTTGCTGGACAAATGAATTTAATTATATTTGATTACAAATAAATAAACATGAAATTTAACTAATTATTATTTAATTTTATTCAATAAAACCACCACTCCATTTCTTCTTAATTGGTCCTTAAGACATAACTTTTTTAAGAGATCTTTGGTGTTATCAAATTTTTTTCCACTAATCATCTGAGGCCAAATGTTGGGTGTGATGTGGTCCAAATGGTCAGCCATCCATTCTTGTGTTTGTAATTTGGAGTTGAGTCTTGCTGAAATATTTGTTTGTAAAAACTGTTGCTAGAACCTCAATGTAAGCAACAGCATTTAATCTAAGATCTTGTGGGAAAAAGTGTGGTGGAATAACATGTCCTTCATACCTAAGAACACCCAAAACCATAACACTTGAAGGAAAATTTGTGTGCATCACACTTGGCACCTCAGAAGGATCTGAACAAAGCCATCTGTCATTTCTTCTGTTAAGTTTTTGATCTTGATCAAATTTTTTCTCATCTGAGAAAAACCAAATCACAATTTTTAAATTTGTTTAAAAGACTTTTGGATCTGTTTAAACGGTTTTCTTTTGTTTTTTCAAACATAAATTGACCTCTATTCATCATGTAGGACTTCTATTGAATGTCTTCATGAATATTCCTTCTAATTGTTTTTTTTTTCAGACACATGCAGCTTTTTGGCAATTGACCTCATTGATTGACATCGGTTTTCATCAATTGTCTACTTGCCTTCCTGAATAAATTCGGATGTTCTCACTTTATCAGAACGTGCAGAATGTCTTTTACATTTTCATACATACATTGGTGAACTGTCAGCGTCTTCTAACTCTTTTCGTATCTTGTGGACAAACGATCTTGCAACTCTGAGGAAACGTGCAATATCCAAATCGTTATGATCAGCCTTTAATGCCACAATCACAGCATGCCTTTTCATTTCATTTCTTATCATAGGATTTGCCATTCTTGATTTCTGCAAAATAAAAGCATTAGAAGTTAGTGGTAAGCAGTATTAATCTTAAATCTGTATGTCCTAAAATACCAGCCGCACCCTATATATATATATATATATATATATATATATATATATATATATATATATATATATATATATATATAATTACTCCTCCTACCCCAGTATAAAGCTTATTTAAGAGAGATGTAAATTTAACCCTCCTATACTTTGTATTGTCTCTTTAACCGCCACCTTCACCCTCCCCTGTTTAATTACAAAAAAATTACACTACCCATCAATTTCTAATCACATTTTTCCTCTCATTTCATTGTTGGAAGTGTTACCTGATGATCCGAAATCCTTTAAAAAGGATTTTGGTGAAATAAATTATTGTAATGGTACCTTAAAATGGTCTGTTTTTCACTAAATATTAGCTCTGTTCTTCACATTGCGCTCTCAGGATTTCATCCTCCTTGGATTTACCAATTCGGTTTACCAAGTTCTTCATAACTTAAATATATATATATATATATATATATATATATATATATTAAGAAACATAATGGGTGTAACAGGAAAGTTGTCCAAATCGTGTACAAACAAAATTGTACATTTGGTAGATTAAGATTTAAATCGTTGTATCTTAGAAATGATTAAAAATATTTTACTGGAATATTCCGAGGTTTTATAACACTATTGGACTCTACTTTAAGCATTAAGAATGTATAATTTCTCTCCAAGCTTAACAGGAGAGTCGTCATGAAATCAATCAAAAACGAAAATGATGTGTTCATCATTAATTAATTAATTCTAGCTAAGGATCGGAAGCTTATGAAGGATTGAAATTATATATATATATATATATATATATATATATATATATATATATATATTATTCCAGGATCATTTGCCAACGCATTCAAGATGATCTTCACTTTTCTAGCCTTCTGACTTTCTGTGTTGGAATAACAAGGTGCCTTACATGTTTCACGTATGATTTAATTTTCAAGTCTTTTTTCTTGCTCTTTGGACTGTCATAGCTGAAACTCCTCTCTCAACGTCTTCTGGATTGAGTTTGATCTTTTCGAATTGATCTCTTTAGCTTTTATTGGGATTCTCCGAGGTTTTTATAACGCTATTGAAGATTAATTTAAACAACAAGAATGTATTTAGCTCTAAGTTGAAATGATAATCCCTCTAGCTGTTGCGACATCCTAATCCAGTTTTCCTCTCAACTGTTCCCTCTTTTATAAGTTTATTCACCGTTCTCTTGAATGAACTTTGAAAATGGAAGCTAGAGTATGAATGTTGGTACCATCCGATAGCAACGCCAGCGGTCATCTGGTGGCTGCCACCGGTAGGCCTATAGCGGTCCGCCAGTAGTAACATTGCCGAGACGAAGACGCCGGCGGTCCGACAGCGGACCACCAGCGGTAAATGCTCGTGCCATGCCACCGAGTGGCAGATTCGTGGATTGCGCGTAGGGTTTCCTCCAGCCATTGCTCATTTGGGAAGACAGTGTGGCTGACACAAAACGATTTTAACCGGTTCTATTTCTAGCTGAATAACTCAAAGGGTTTTTTCAGTGATTCTTGAGACAAATGGTGTCCTGATGGCTAACCGTCTTATCTGAAAACAGGAAAAAAAGGAAACTCACTTAGTTTAGGGTTATTTTAGATATTAAATATGGAATGGACAGTTGCTGTTACACCTGGTATATCTGTAAGGAAAGAGTGACCTAAAGAGAAAGTACGTAGCATGATAGATAGATATGAAGAGACATAGATAGATAGATAGATAGATAGATAGATAGATAGATAGATAGATAGATATGAAAAGATATATGTAAATAGATAGATATGATAACACATAGATACAGATACATACACACATATACACACACACACACACATATATATATATATATATATATATAGATAGATAGATAGATAGATATGAAAAAACATAGATAGATAGATATGAAGAGAGAGAGAGATATGAAGAGACATAGATAGATAAATAGATAGATAGATATGAAGAGAGATAGATATGAAGATAGATAAATAGATAGATAGATATGAAAAGATATATGTAAATAGATAGATATAACACGTAGATACAGATACATACACACATACATACAGATAGATAGATAGATAGATAGATAGATAGATAGATAGATAGATATGAAGAGACATAGATAGATATGAAAAGATATGGAAATAGATAGATAGATATGAAGAGACGTAGATACAGATACATACACACATACAGATAGATAGATAGATAGATAGATAGATAGATAGATAGAACGTTAGTCAGCAAATACCTGTGTCCATATTGGTTTGATGTTGCAACAGAAATTGAATAGCAGATCTAGTTGTTCCTGGTTCCATTTTCTGGCTTATAAGCTATCACTTTCAATAAAGGATCAAGTGAATTAGACATTGGACGCCTATTTATATCGATTCTAGGGATTCACTTTGATATCTCATCGACTTACAAAGGAAATAATTATTGACATAGGGACAGAAAGGGGAAAAGAGACGTAGCAAACGAATACGGAAAGGTGAAATTAGATAGTGAGGGAGTAAGAAGAAGAAGAAGAAGAAGAAGAAGAAAAAAAGTACAAGCATTTAAAGGCGGCAACACCGGTATTGCAAAGAGAATGAAAGAAAAGCAAAAACGAAAATAAAATAAAAATAAAAAAAAACGAAGAAACTGGCAAAAAGCTAATTTCATCTCCTTACTTAGAAGAGGGAAACATAAATAAAGATAAAAAAAAACAATGAGGGATACAGATAAAAACATATTCAAACAAAAGTGAAAGAGGAGAAAGAAGAGAAATAAGTGAGATTGGAGCAAGAAAATACGTAAATCACACACACACACACACACACACACACACACACACACACACACACACATATATATATATATATATATATATATATATATATATATATATAGTTAAATTCCCAGATCAATTCAGTGGACAAGGCAGATTGGTATAAGAATTGACCTGGGAATTTAACTATATTGTCGACATGGCAAAAAAAAAAAATCCCTTACTATAAAGGTAATTTACATTAACCAGAAACAAAAGGCTTAGACAGAAGCGTCTATCTTTTTAAATTTGGATTTTTTTCAATGTAACTATAACAACAAAAACATTTCGATTTCATTTTTGCCTTGAAAAAGTCGGAAGACGAAACGCGTCGGCAAAATCTAAGATTTTTTTTCCAATTGTCATTTTATGCTATATATATATATTCGAATGTATAAATATAGGTAAATGCACGAGCAAGCGTTCATCAGTTATAGGCGTGTTACACGCGTAGGCGATCATGACAGACGTGGCAGATTTTTTTTCCCGCGGTAGGTTGCCATTTCTTTCTGCGGTAGACCAGTGCCATCCAAAACTATAGAACCCAGTCTGTCCTGCTATTTACCCATAGTTGGGGAGGGAAGAAGAGAATTCATACCTTTCCCAAGGGTATTAGCACGTAATTTAATGTAATGGATTCGGGATGGGTTATATACCGTAGTTATGAACACTAATGGGCATGTCCCAATCCTCATAAATACGTTGGACACTATATGGTAATACGCTAAGTAGTCTACCACTAGTCGTGGTTTACCTACTTCACGCCGCTGGCGAGTATTGTATTTTATTGATGTTATAAAGATTACCAAGTTCATCAAGATTATCATTTCCAACCTCCATTTTGTTTATTCTTCATTCAGTAACCTTTTCTAGGTTACAACATTATGGCGACGGGTATGAGATATTGACTCTGTGTAGAGTTAATCTAAAAAGGCGAGTGTTTTATACCGGACCTATGAATACTAATAGGTATGTCCCAATCCTCATAAATACTTTGGACGCTATTGTAGTGGGGATAATAAGCTAAGTAGTTCACCACAACGTATTTATGAGGATTGGGACATACCCATTATTGTCCTATAGTGAAAGAAATAAACAGTGTTCAATGTTAAATAACAGAGCTATTTAATATATTAAAAAATAAATATGATACCCCACGTTGATTGCACAACTTGGAGTTTTATGACATTTGAAATCTTCAGGCGCAATTTTTGGGTTTGTACTGTCTGTTTAATACTTCTAGTTATCGCGAGATATTTTATTGTTACGGTGGAGTATCCTGGTTGTTAAGTGTTTAAATGAATTGTAGTTTAAGATTGAACATATGATTGAAAAGCAGAATTATAAATTTTAATTTAAAAACGAATGCTGTCATTAAAAAAATAACGTTTGGAGATCAAGAACGGTAACTCTGTTTTTTGTATACAAATCAATAGTGAAATCAATACAATTAATAATATTGATAAAATTAATAATAATTTAATTAAGATACTAATAAAAATAATACATAATAAAAATAAATAAAAATAAAATATATATATATATATATATATATATATATATATATATATATATATATATATATGGTATAAAATGACATTTGGAAAAAAATTTAGTTTTTTTTTTGGTTAATGTGAATTACATTTATAGTAAGGGATTCACATTAACCAGAAAAAAAGGCTTAGACAGAAGTGTCTATCTTTTTAAATTTGGATTTTTTAATGTAACTATAACATATATAATTTTGTATAATTTTATATATCTACAAACAGTATTTAGGAAAATAGTATGACAAATTGGAATATATATATATGCGTGTGTGTAATCATGTTTTAAGACGATAATTCAGACAGGAGGGTTGGTCTAAAAATACACCTGAAAGTGGTTTGTGTGGCTGAATGGTATAATTTTGATTTCAGTGGTTAGTCAAAAAGATGAAAGGCCTGATGAAAACAAAGGCGAAAGTTACTTTCGGAGAAAAAAATGAATCAAAAAGATGAAGGGAAAAAATGATGAAAAAATGAACAGAAAAGTTGAAGGCGGGGAAAAAGACCGAAAAATAAAGTAAGAAAATGAAAAATGAAGGAAAAATTTTTTAAAATGAAGTAAAAATCTAAAAAATAAAGGAGAAATAAAATAAAATGAAGGAAAAAAATGATAAATGGAGAGACAAATAAAAAAGAAAGGAAATATGAAAGAAAAATTGAAAAATTAAAGAAAAGGTGAAATGGGAAAAAAAAAGAAAAATTAAAAATCAAAGAAAAAGATGAAGGAAAAGTGAAAAATTAAGAAGAATGAGAAAAATATAAAAGAAAAAATGAAGGAGTAAAATGAAAGAAAAAAACGATAGAAAATGGAAAAAAGTTATGGGAAAGTTATAAAGGGAAAAGAGATGGAAAATGAAGGAAAAAGATGAAGGAAAAAGTGAAAGACGCAGGGATAAAATGAAAAAATGAAGACAAAAAAGATAAAAGAAAACCCTAATAGAAATTGAAATCTTTAAGAAAGATAAAGATGTTAACCATGGCGGAGTCAAAGCGAGGCGTTATAGAAACGTGTGGAACTCTTCGTTTTCTTTCACGGTTCGATTGACGTACAACTTCCTTTCGCTCGTGCTGTTCACTCAGCTGTGTTGTTTGTTGTCAACAGCGAATAACTCGCACACGAAATATCTTACGCCTTCTCCAATTTCTCTTCGTGTCATGTGACCATCTCATCCGTTCAGCGCATGCCGAACGAAGCACGTGACTGTAGTTCGTCATCGAATTTGATTTTTTCGTTTTTCTGTTCGTTTTTTCATTCTTTCTTTTTCTTTCTTTCCTTCGTTTTCTTTTTTTTTTTTTTTTTTAAATAAAAGACGTTTCTCCGACAAACGCTATTCTGCTTCCTCTCAAACGAATCTCCAGCCTTTTGAGAATTTCCAACTGTTAAACCTAGACCTCTTTTTTACACTGATGTATCAAAAAGGAGAGAGTACAGATAACACACATGAAATTAAAAAAGAAACCAAATCAGCAGAAAAAGAGTAAGTACATCGGATAGAAAAAAAAATATGATCAAGTAAAACCACAGAAACTAACCTTAAAATATTTTATTGTATATATTACATTTTAATACATATATAGGATTATGCAATTATATAGTTTTAATATATTTTCTGTTTATGCATTGTTTTTATAGATACAAATATTTAAGTAAATGCTCTGTTTATAATAAACAGTATTAACAACATTGAATGTCCGAGAAATTTCGTAGAAAATATGTGTCCTCCAGACAGGAATCGAGCCTGTATCCTACACGGAACCGTCATATAACCAGACGTGCCATACCATTTAGTTACAGAGGAATCGTCTGGTTAGCAAGGTCGAATTACTGCTTTTAAACTACACATTTCTCATGGCTTCTCTCGGACGCTCATATCTGCTCGAAGCGTATCTTAACGTAAACAAATGACGTCATATATTATGAAATGAAATAAGTCCGGAAATTATTTTAATATATTTTATGTTGATACGTTATTTGTATAGATACAAATCTTTAAGTAAATTCTCTATTTATAATAAACAGTATTAACAACATTTACCAGCCTAAATGTCCGAGAAATTTCGTAGAATATATGTGTCCTCCGACAGGAATCGAACCTGTATCCTACACGGAACCTTCATTATGGCCTGACGTGCTATACTATTTAGCTACAGAGGAAGCATCTGGTTTGCTTTGGTTTGTTTTGTTTTACGGCATATCGACTTCAATGGGTCATTTAATGCCGACAATATTTTTTTTTTTCTGATAATATTTTTGTTTTGTCAAAATCCACTTCTGTTAATATTTTTTCCCCAGAATGTATAGCCGGTAATATTATTTTTTCAAAAACATATAGCTGGTAATATTATTTTTCAAAAACTTACAGCTAGCAACAAAAACGTATTATCAGAGGGCTTGCTGTTGGACGTAGTTTATCGTCATACCCAGGACGCGGATGTAGTTTATCGTCATACCCAGAACGCGAATGTAATCTGAGTGTTAACTATTTGCCCATAGCAGAAACCCTAAGAGGTGCTACCACCCCAGGTCAGGGTGGACCTGGGAACACCAGCAATTAAAAGGTGGTTCCACATTCCTCAAAACCTCCTGATCAGAGGCCTTGCTGTTGGACGTAGTTTATCGTCTTACACAGGACGCGGATGCAGTTTATCGTCATACCCAGGACGGAGAAGCATCTGGTTAGCAAAGTAAAATTACTGTTTTTAAACAACAAATTTTGCATGATTTTTCTTACTATTGGTAATCTAAATTTTTGTTTGTAAAAATCATTAATTAGGAAATAGCAATTATTGGTGATAAGACGGCCGATTTTTATTGTTTTAGCTGTTGGTAGGGAGAGATTTTTCTTTGATTGTTTGTATTATTGTTTTTTAGGAGATTTAGGCATTTTTCGACTGGGACTTTGGTGTGAAGTGATTTTATATCTAGACTCGCAATGCATTAAGCAAGAACTAAGCAAGAACTAAGGAACTCCACATCACTTCCTCTGACAAGACAAGTAGGATTGTGATCAAGAATACATACGGAGGAAAAAAGTTAATTCACTGCTCAACGGTACCGACATATACGAAAAACTAAACGAACAGAAAATAAATATTGAAACACAAAAATTTAATAAGAAGATGAGGAAACTAATTAAAAATGAAAACAAATCATGGCGGTGACTCAGAGAATATCACTCAAACACCCAAACTTTACGGTCTCCCTAAACTCCACAAAGCAGATATTCTGATGCGTTCTATCATCTCATATATATATATATATATATATATATATATATATATATATATATATATATATATATATATATATATATATATACAATAAACGTGCAATCAAATTACAAATACATGAAAAATTCAAGGTGTTTATAAACTAATGCAAGGTTAATGATTTTTTCTCTAGTAATAATCCTTCATCGAAAATATATTGTATTGTATCCAAATATTACTAAGAGAAAAAATCAAGAATGAACATCTATTATATAAATTTCTGATGTCTTAGTTGTTAACAGACGAAAGCTTTCGTCTAAAAATAACAATCTTCACGGCAGAAATTTATATGAACAAGGATTTTCTCATTCATAACGGATCTAAGGTTTTTTGTGTAATATTTGAATTGTTTGCGAGATGGATGTCTCGCCATTTAAAATCATTAACCTTTGCATTAGTTTTGTGTGAATAATTCATGTATATATATATATATATATATATATATATATATATATATATATATATATATATATTGTGTGTATTTAGGCAGCATATTTTCATTTATACACGTTTCATTAAATAATATAGACAAGTGTTGTCTATTTATTTTATGTAAAATTTGTTCGTATCTTCTGATAAGTTTGATAACATTATCATTAAACGAAGAAAGAAATTCACAATATTTATCTATTATTTTTTTAATATAATCTAAGCTTTCGGCTTACTTAAGCTATTATAAAAGATATAAATCACAAACATATTAAACAATATACGGACACGACAGTGATGATAGTCTGTCATTGTTTACATAGTGGATCACTAAGCAACGATAAACACGCGCATATAAGACGCTAGAAGCGAAAATCGCACCGCATCTCATGACGTCACACATGACTACACGAGAGTGAATTGTAGAATGAAATAAGGAAAGCCGTTGGTATAAACCAATGGCTTTTGTTACCAATTATAGAAATTATAGACATTTAAGAATATTTGTAGACATGCCATAATTGATTTTGTTTAGGTTGGGTTTTAACTGTTTGATGTATAATGCTTCAAGTATTTTTAGTTTTTGTCTATTGTTTTCATGTCGAAGTATAGTTGTGTTTTCGACAAGTATTTTACGGAATTGTGTGCGGGCAGGCATGTTGTTTTAAATGCCTAAAATGTTAGAGTTTTCATTAAAATGTAGTGTCAAGCGTCGTGAAAGCAAGTTTGTGGTGTGACCAACATAAATATTATTTAATTCGTTGGAGATACACTCTCCCAAAGGGCACTTGAATTTATAAACTATGTTTGTTTTTTGCAAATCGCTAACTGGGGAGAAGAATCATTGCGAAGTATTAAGTTGGATATACTAGATTTAGTGTAGTATATGATTAATTTAATTTTTTTTGCTAGGATCTGTAGTTGATATATTAGAATTTACTAAATTTTTTAGTATGTTTTCATCTTGTTTATAATTAGTATGCATTTGATTACGATATAGGAGATTAATATATTTGAGATCAGTAGAAGCAGTATTATGTACAATTTGCTTATTATTGAGATTTCTAAGAAAGCATCTTATTTGTTCATCAACTATATAGTTTGGAAAGCTATTATTAATAAGTGTCTGTTTTATATTCTTTAGTTCACTGTAAAAAATCTGTTTTGTGGATGAATTAGTTTCTGCACGATGTATTAGATTCTTTATAATTGCTATTTTGTAGTAATATGGGCATTCGCTCTTCTAGTTAAGTGTACATGAATTTATGCTTGTAGGTTTTTTGTATGGCGAAATAGTAAATTTGTTATTTGTGTTTATCAATATGTCAAGGAAGGGGATTTTATTATTAGTATTGAGTTCACATATGAACTCAATACTAATAATAAAATCCCCTTCCTTGACATATTGAATATGAAAATATATAATAGTAATATATATGAAAATATATAATAGTAATATATATTCCCCTTCCTTGACATATTTAAAATATATAATAGTAATATATTATCTGTGTTAATTTTAAATCTCCCGTTGAAGCCTGAAGAGCGGGTGTGAAACCGGTTGCTTCGCCCGTTTTTAATATGTCTAGTAATATTAAGTTTTATACTTTTATTTCGATCATTAAATTTTGTACCTACAAAAATGTCTTTTTATATATATATATATATATATATATATATATAGGTCCGACAATTTATTTATTAAAGACATATTTTTATGTTTAAATTTGTTATTTTATAGATACAAGTATTTAAGCAAATGCTCTGTTTATGATAAACAGTATTAAATAACATTTACCGGCCTGAATGTCCGAGAAATTTTCATAGAAAATTTTCGTTCTTTGACAGGATTCGAACCTGCATCCTATACGGAACCGTCATATACGCTGACGTGCCTTTACCGCTTGAGCTACAAAAAATCACGCCAATTTCTGAAGGATTTTTAAGTTTGTTTAAAAGCCTTTTGGATCTGTTTAAACGATTTTCTTTTGTTTTTTCAGACATAAATTGACGTCTCTTCATCACGTATGACTTGTATCGAATGTCTTCATGAACCTATTGTCCTCATCTTTGTCGCCATATTTATTACAACATTTCGGCCGTTGTAAGCTCCGGCCTTCTTCAGGTCATTGGAATGTCGAACTGAACCCTTTATTTCGCTCACTGGGGTAGACTGTTCTAATTCCACGTGCCATGTTTAATGGATGTCAGTTATCAGTTCTGTCTACTCCAGTGAGCGAAATAAAGGGTTCAGTTCGACATTCCAATCACCTGAAGAAGGCCGGCGCGTAGAACGACCGAAACGCTGTAATAAATATGGCGACAAAGATGAGGACAATAGTCCGAATAATGTAAATAGTGTACATAATACCTCATCTCAGAAATATAAACAGATACTGAAGGACCGAAACACTGTAATAAATATGGCGACAAAGATGAGGACAATAGTCCGAATAATGTAAATAGTGTACATAATACCTCATCTCAGAAATATAGACAGAGACAAATATTTCCTTTGCAGTCCCAGAACACTTACATAGCTGTTTCAAGACTGCTTACTCGTTGGACTCCCATTAATAGTAAAAACTTTTAAAAACAGTTTATTTCTACTAGTGTTGCTTACATATTAATGTATGATATGCTAAAGATGGAATGACCAAATTGCTAACAAGTTAGTCGCAGGAGTCGCTATAAATGTATTTTGATATGCTAATATTGTGCGTCCTCTTCCATGTCGATAAAACCAGTTGGTGTTCTCGAATCGGGGAGAAAAAAGACAAAATTCGTGTATTTAGCAACCACAGCGGTCGTCGGTAAGTGAGTTATTTTTCTGAATGGTTACGTGCATTGTGAATTGTGAAATAATACCTGCATTTCTTTCTGCCCCTGATCTTCGAGTCTGAACTTACACGGATTTGTTCTCTTCGTTGTGGAAGTAATCTGCGACAAATATTTTCCTTTGCAATCCAAACAGTACCACAGTGAAGAGCTCATCCGAGCAATTACAAAGCAATTATAAAAAAAAGAAAAGGCACAGGGAAGCAACTTTACGGTGGTAGGAAAGTGATTGAAACCGAGACGCCAGGTCAGGACGAATAATATTGCTGATTCTTCTTTGGATTTTTATCAAGAATCTCTGAATATACAGCAGGAGTAACAGACCAGATGTGGCAGTAATATTCTATGTGAGTTTTTCAACACTGTCACCCAATCTCGATTGCATAGAGCACAATCTCTGAATATACAGCAGGAGTAACAGACCAGATGTGGCAGTAATATTCTATGTGAGTTTTTCAACACTGTCACCCAATATCGATTGCATAGAGCACATCTGAGATGTGATGGAAAGGGAGATTCTAATCATGTATGTGCAGCCATCATAATGGCATTAATCCGTAAAATATTTGTATATAAGCTTCTTTTGCAAATTATTTTTAATTTAGTGAATTTGATTCTGACTGGTTATTCATTTTATGGTCCATCGCAGTGGCTTCATATCTATCTATCTATCTATCTATCTATCTATCTATCTATCTATCTATCTATCTATCTATCTATCTATCTATCTCATTTCGTTATCTTTCATTATCTCGTTCGTTTTTAGTCTGTTCTCCCTCTCTTTCTTTCTTTCTTTCCCCCCCCCCCCCTCTCTCTCTCTCTCTCTCTCTCTCTCTCTCCCTATCTATCTCTCTATCTGGGTTCATTATCTATAATATCTCGGTTGGTACATTATCTATCTATTTTGATTTTTTCTCTATCTTCCTGATTTCTCTCTTTTCCTCTCTCTCTTTCTCACGCACACACTATCTTCCTATCTTTTCGGTTCATTATCTGTTCCAATCTGCTCTTATCTCTCTTTCTCTGTATTTATGTCTTTATCGTTCTGATTATTTCGATTTCCTTCGCTCGTAACTAAGCGCGTGTTTGTTTAGCTTGTATAGGCATTTGACATCGCCGAAAGCGGGAAATGTTTATGTCGGGGACCAGTTCGACTGCAAAGCGAGTTCCTTCCGAAAGTTTGAGGACAAAGAATCAACAAGGTCTGCCTGTTTAATTTTCAAATTTCCGTATAAGTTGGTGAGTATTGTGGTCAATGTTGTGGATAAACTGTCCGAAGTTCATATTTTGCTATTGTTTGTTCATGGATTTTCACCCATTGAAGGGACAATCAGAGAAAGTCACAGATAAGCCAGAAACTCCAAGAAGACTTATTAATTTGAAATTTTCTTGGCTATTTATTCCGATTTCTCTGAACCAATGTGGTGCCCACATCGTAGTTAGAATTCCTTTGTCTGCATCCTGGTATTCGGTGGAAGGCTGTAAGTTTGAAATAGTCTGCCGTGACGTCATGTGTAACGGTTATTGGGAATGAAGAAAAATAATGGTATTTATATGTGTGTGCGTGTGTGTGTTAGCTCAATCACTGATATTGAATGCTTTCCAATAAGTACACATATATAATATATAAATATGTAAAATTGCATATATATATATATATATTATATATATATTTATATAAATACATATTATATATATATATATATATATATATATTATATATATATTACACACACACACATATATATATATATATATATATATATATATATATATATATATATATATATATATATATATATAACTATATAACTATATATAAATTTTATATATCGAGAAAAAATATTGGGGAATGTTTTCGTGTGACGCGTTTCGTTCTTTAAGACTTCATCCGACTAAATTTGTTGTAACATGTTGAACTTTTTCCCACTTTTGCCTACATTTTCCCCCAATATGTGTATACATATATATATATATATATATATATATATATATATATATATATATATATATATATATATATATATATATATATATATATATATATATATATATATATATATATATATATATGCATCTTGTAGAAGTGCATTTACGCTTAGCTGTTATTCTGTGATGTTGGACAGAGCTTAAGCAGATCAGTGACTTGATGTCTTCCAAGTAAAAAATATATGAATATATGAATTGTCAAAGTATTTTTTTTTTTACAGCGTTTGTTTTTCTACGTTTTGGAATAGACATGCGCAGATTAACAATATACAAATATATAAAATTGAATCAAACTAAAACGCGAAAAAGCCTTTTTCTCGATTCGGAGTCATGAAAAAAAAACAACGAAAAATTTTCGTTTGATTTTTTACGAAGGTAGCTACTGATGAGATTCAGGACAAACGGAATTCGTTGCAAAACGATGCTTGTTTCCGGGACATTGTACATTGATCATCTGAGCAGAAAATATCCCGACCACTCGACCGAACAATCTATTCGATGACATGCGAAGAAGAAGAAGAAGAAGAAGAAGAAGAAGAAGAAGAAGAAGAAGAAGAAGAAGAAAAGGGGGAATAGAAGTAAAAAAACGATTAAAGAAGGTTTAGGGGGCTAGGGTCGTTGCTTGGATGTAAAAAGCGTGCGTCGGGAAGGGGGTTGACTCGACGCGATTTTGCACTTGCCTGCACCCTTTGAAGAGACAATCAGAGAAAGTCACATGATAATCAGTATCTTGTATGACATCTGCCGAGATGAGCCAGAGACTCCAAGATGACTTATTTAATTGAAATTTTCTTGGGTATTTATTCCAATTTCTCTGATCCAGTCTATTCCAGTCTGTCTTTTAATTTAGCTAAGCTTGTTCATCTCTACCAGTATCAGTCTTTTCTGTCCTTATTCTTCAACAGCTATGCACTAAGAGCTTATTGAATATATATATAAGCATACATATATGTATATCCACTATAGATACAAAAACGCTATGCTATCAGAAACTTTTGCGTTAATCCCAGATCATTGATATTCCATTTTCGTATTTACAATGTATTTCTTTAGTAAAATCATTAGTAATGCATTTGCATTTTGCAAATGAAAATACATTTCTGTCAGTTACTTACATTACTTACATGCCAACTACTGTCGTCATCTTTGTTGTTATGATCACAATGTTTTGGTCACTGTGCAATCTGGCCTTCATCCGGTGCTTGTCGATTTGAACACTTTATTCAATCTATAGGAGTAGCCATTACCTCGAAGTTTAGTCTGGCTTTAGGAATGGTACCGCTAAAGCCAACAGCTGCGATAACGAAAGGACAATTTCATACTCTGGCTTTACTAGGAAGCAGTGCAAAAACAGCTAGACCATTGCAACTCAGTAAGACCTTCGATCCAGTTCACAATGGAAGAATTAAAACAATAATCGCCTAGCCTTTCTGAATGTAATAATAACTCACACCAAAATGAGATAGCTGCATATCACAAGCCAACCTTCACCGGACAATACATTAACTTTGATTATCACCATCTATACAGTTTAAAGAAAGGGATCGTCCGATGCCTACAGCACCGTGTAAAAAATCATAAGTGGTTACCAAATCAATTGCCAACTGGAACTGATCAGTATCAAACATACTCTTCAGAATAACAACTATCCTGAAAAAATTTCATCATCCTCTGCAGGTAGAAACAGAAGGGCCGAGGAAAAAGACTGGAAAACAAGAATCTCCAAATATACAACAGGAACACCGGGCCAGATTTAGCAGCAATATTCTACCTATGGACAAATGATAGACTTATAAATATGCAAGATAGATTCTGACGAGAAAAACCGTCTAGCAACAGACCTAGCAATGTGTTCAATATAGTCTTCTTCATATCAGCAGAGACTGTTAGACCGAAAAGGCGGAACGAGTCATTCTTATGGAGGTTAGCATCAGCCATGCTGACGGAAGACATAAATGGGTCTTTCAGTTGATTAATATAGAGAATTTTCGTCTTGGAGGCGTTATAATTAAAAAGACATTCCTTGCCCAAGTTAACAACAAACTTTGATCAGATTTTCTATCAAGACAGAAGTAAATGGTTACGTCATCAGCATAGATACCACATTGAGGACAGATTTCATCAGGAAGGTTATTGATGAAAATTAAGAACAAAATAGGTCGAAGGATATAGCCCTGAGGGACACCTCTGTTAGTACACACAGATCTAGAAGAGTTATTATTCATGTCAACTTTCATTTCGCGATTAGATAAGAAAAACTGAATCAGTTCAAAAATTCGTCCGAAAATGCCATAACCGTTGAACTTGTGGTGAAGACCGGTGTGCCAAACCCTGTCAAACATTTTCGAAGTTTTTAAAGCAGCAACTCGAGTTTCATCAGTCTTATCTAAAGTTTGATAGGCACTTTCAGCAAGAATCGTAACTACATCAACAGTTGACCTAGAGAAACGGAAGTCTATATACTAGACTCTTCATAAGCTGATGAGTTTCTTTTAATAACAGTTCATGATTTAAAATGATGAGGAAACAATATTATCAGTTTTATTATCAATTTCATATCTTACTTTGAATTTAAAGATTGTTAAAGAAGATTTATTGTTCCACTGTGCTTCATAGCTAACACACTGCGTGAAGATTTGGAGTAATAGATTAAAACAGGTGTAGACTTTTTCAAATTAATATGTATTATTTTTATTAATAATTAGTTGAAAATTTCTCCGGTCCGAAACGAATGAAAACCACTAAAAACATATCCTGATTTAAAATCTGAAAATACATTATTTTAAGCTATCAATAGATAAATCTTTTACTTCTTTACATAAAAAGAAATATTTTTTCCTTAAAATGTACTTTGAAGAGAAAATTAATACTAAAGAAAATAAAAGAAGGTTTATTGTTTCACTGGGCTTCATAGTTAATAAATTGCGTGAAAGTTTGGACTGAGAGCTTAAAACAGGTGTAGTCTTTTTCGATATAGGTATATTTTTATTATACAGTGTAACCCGGATGTAAGAGAGTTGTCGGGACCGGAGAAGAAGTCTCTTATATCCGGGTTTCTCTTATATCCGGGTTTGGTCTATTTTATATACATTAACACAGGCTCTAATTTGGGACCAGAGAAGAAGTCTCTTATATCCGAGTTTCTCTTATATCCGGGTTTGGTCTAATTTATATACATTAACACAGGCTCTAATTTGGGACCAGAGAAAATCTCTTATATCCGGGTTTCTCTTATATCCGGGTCTTT